TAAAAAAAAAAAAAAAAAAATTAAAGAAAAATGTGACACAGTATCAGAGTCTTTTTAAACACCTCCCAACACGGATGAAAAAGGGTGTCCTTTATTCATACTTCTTTTAGAAAAATGGTCCCTGATTCACTGCAGTACAGAGTGAATCTGAATTTATAGATATATGACAATATCTATAAATTGGCTCTAGACATGTAAGCCTAATTTATTTGTGATATTAAGTACATGAGACTTTTTTTTTTTTAATGCGTCAGACTTCAAATCTGTGTCTTAAGATCGGTTGTATTCTCCCACTGAAAATTTTTTTTCACCACCAGCATCTCCTTCAATAACACCTGAAAGATTGTATGACAGGGAAGTGGGGGATCTCCTGAAATTTTGAAGTGGCAAGCAGGAGTGCCCAGTGTATGTCCTGCCCTAGGTCAATGGTTTTCAATATTTGCTTTTTTAGTAACAAACGCTCTTTCCACAGTGTAACGTAGAATTCCTATATATAAGATAGAATAACACAGAACTGCTCTGGAAGTGGGGAAGCGCAGCCTGTGTGGCCTCCCTTTCACCCTTCCTGACTGCAGTGGCCTCTTGGGCAGAAACCTAGGGTTCTTGGGAACTGTTTGAACTGTTGTCTTAGGTCAGCCTTTCTCAACCAGGCTTCCTCATCTTAAACACAGGAAGTGATTCGAATGAACGACTTTCTCTGTGTGCCAAGGATGGGTCACGAGAGGTACCATTCTAGATCCCAGGAGAGAAGTTAGTTCATTACACGGAGTGGATGCCTTCGGGCCATGGGGCTTTATTCTCTTCCCAAACCCCAGTTGAGAAGGGCTGTCTTAGATGAATGCCATGGAACCCGGCCAGGGTGAGCTTGGGTAACCAGACATTGGTTCCAAACATTTCTCCCAGGAGGCCTAGCTAACAGTGTATCCCTTCTTTTTTAGGAAGAGTATGAAGACTCCAGTGGGAATGTTGTGAATAAGAAGACATATGAGGATCTGAAGAGACAAGGACTGCTCTAGTGTTCAGGAGTGTATCTCAGCTTTGGGCTTGCCCAGGCTTCCCTGAGATCTGCTTTTTCTATTTCTCCCGACCACGTGCTCCTAAAGACTCTTTGCTACTTAGTCTTACGGTCTAGCATGCATCTTGTAGAGACAAGGCATGCGGCAGATTGTAGGGTTGAGATGTGTTTTATCTTTGTTTTATATAAAAAACATTGTCAGAAAATAAAACCAGCCCTTGTTCTAAATGTGTCTTGTTCTGAAGCCCTGGATTATGGACTAACTCATCCTTTAGCTCTTAACACATCCCTACCACTTTCTCATACACCTCAGTAGCAACTAAGGTTTAATGAGCACCTGTTAGGTTACAAATGTTACGCTAGCTATATCTGACCTGACCTCTTTCCCCACTTCCTCAAATGAGCATCACTCCAGGATAAGCCCTGCCCCTGTCAGCCATTCATGCACATGCTAGGGAAAGGGGGGAAGAGTGAGCCAGGGCTCTGCTAGGGACAGAGTTGTTGGCACTAAGGTTTTCTGTTTTTATTTGCCTAAAGGAGTTATGCTGTTTGGAATGGGCTGTAGGCCCTGCCCCTTCCCCCACAGGAAGTGATTCGAATGAACGACTTTCTCTGTGTGCCAAGGATGGGTCACGAGAGGTACCATTCTAGATCCCAGGAGAGAAGTTAGTTCATTACACGGAGTGGATGCCTTCGGGCCATGGGGCTTTATTCTCTTCCCAAACCCCAGTTGAGAAGGGCTGTCTTAGATGAATGCCATGGAACCCGGCCAGGGTGAGCTTGGGTAACCAGACATTGGTTCCAAACATTTCTCCCAGGAGGCCTAGCTAACAGTGTATCCCTTCTTTTTTAGGAAGAGTATGAAGACTCCAGTGGGAATGTTGTGAATAAGAAGACATATGAGGATCTGAAGAGACAAGGACTGCTCTAGTGTTCAGGAGTGTATCTCAGCTTTGGGCTTGCCCAGGCTTCCCTGAGATCTGCTTTTTCTATTTCTCCCAACCACGTGCTCCTAAAGACTCTTTGCTACTTAGTCTTACGGTCTAGCATGCATCTTGTAGAGACAAGGCATGCGGCAGATTGTAGGGTTGAGATGTGTTTTATCTTTGTTTTATATAAAAAACATTGTCAGAAAATAAAACCAGCCCTTGTTCTAAATGTGTCTTGTTCTGAAGCCCTGGATTATGGACTAACTCATCCTTTAGCTCTTAACACATCCCTACCACTTTCTCATACACCTCAGTGGCAACTAAGGTTTAATGAGCACCTGTTAGGTTACAAATGTTACGCTAGCTATGTCTGACCTAAGCTCTTTCCCCACTTCCTCAAATGAGCATCACCCCAGGATAAGCCCTGCCCGTCAGCCATTCATGCACATGCTAGGGAAAGGTGGGAAGAGTGAGCCAGGGCTCTGCTGGGGACAGAGTTGTTGGCACTAAGGTTTTCTGTTTTTATTTGCCTAAAGGAGTTATGCTGTTTGGAATGGGCTGTAGGCCCTGCCCCTTCCCCAATCCTCAGCAGCCTAGCACATGATGGAACAGACGAGCAGTGACTTTCCACTTGCTAGTTCACAACGAGAGTCTTTGGTGATTCTTTCTTCTGCAAGATCTCTACTTGACTGAGGAGTGGCTAGTCTTTTGTTGCCCTAGGCCAGGTAGCCAATATTTGGGTGGAGTTGAGCCCCGGCCCCGGAGCTGAATCTGGTATCCTAAGTGGAAAGAACTAGGAGAGCCGAGGGCACTGGTCTGTGCACTGGCACAGTTGTCTGAACAGGAGAGCCGAGGGCACTGCTCTGTGCACTGGCACAGTTGTCTGAACAGGGGAGCTGAGGGCACTGGTCTGTGCACTGGCACAGTTGTCTGAACAGGGGAGCCGAGGGCACTGGTCTGCACTGGCACAGTTGTCTGAACGGGCGCTGAGGGCACTGGCCTACTCCAGAACAGGATTTCCCCTCTGCCCCCTCTGCCCTTCAGCACTTGGATTTTCAGTTTGTAATGCACTACTTTAGCTGGCCCTTGCCCTTGCCCTCTCCCTTACACTTACCTATTGCCCTAGTCATCTCCGTGGCAATAGGGCTAGCCACCTCTGCCCCTACAGCACGTCACTCTCGGTGTTTTCCTTCCTGGTTCAACCCATCCCTTGGGCAACTCCTCACATGCTCTGTGCTTTGGCTCCTCCAGGTGCTTAAAATCCCAGTAGGACAACCTCTTCAGGGCCTGAGCTTCTGAAGCAGAGTGAGAGGGTAATTAAACCTAATTGAGCCAACTGGAAACAGTGATTACCGAAAACTAGCCCGAAGTGCAAGGAGACATTGCCATTTGGGGAAAGAGTGAAACAAGCCTCGGAAATGAGACGTGGGGAGGAAGCGTCCCTCCAGCCTTCCTGTTGGAGCAATAGCAGCATTGGGGCTCCCGAGGAACCAGCTGTCATACTCCTCTAGGAGTGGGTGCCCGGGCCTCCAGGTTAATTCAGTCACCCAAGAACCGGCTTTTCTTCTTTACAGTGTGGAGGGGAGATGGCTCCAGGTTCTGAGGAGTTCTTGCCCAGATAACTATGCAGCTGAGCAGACTTGGAGGAAACCTGGGGCTTCCCTATCATTGCAAAGACTTTTCTTCATTCGTTACATTCACCCAAATATTCTTTTAGTGCCTTCCACATGCCAGACACACCTAGGTTTGCAGATCTTGTGAACTAGTTGGAGGTGAGAAGGTGGGAGCAGAACCGGGGTAAGGAGGTTCATTAACCTCGTGGGCTGGCGGGAAGAGCCACGTGCCCAGCGCCATCCAGCTCCGAGGGGCACAGAGCTGTGAGGGAGGTTCAGACAAACTTGGCACCAGAAGAGGTTTTCCCCAGAGGTGATGCCTCAAAGTCTGGACTTTCAGGTTCTGCTGTGGGGAGACCAGGATTCCAGCTGAGCCCACTGACCAGGCCGGGGAAGGAATGGAGGGTTGCTTTTTCTTGGTTTAGGTCGGTAGGTCTTAATTATTTTGGGACCAGAGATTCCTTTGAAACTACAAAGATAACTGTGGACTTTCTCCCTGGGAAAATACATACATAGCTTTTCTGCACAGAATTTTAGGGGTTCATGAATCTCCCAAAGCCCATCCTTGGTTCCTGAGTCTTGTAAGAACTTCTCCCATAGACACGGAGACTGAACCTCTGCCTGGGCGCTTCCTGCTGGGAACAGGTGACTCCCTCTTCAAGGAGGAAAGCTGCCCATCAGGGAAGCTGCGGACTCAGCCTGCCCCTCCCAGCCCAGGCAGGAAGCAGCTGGGAAGTCCTTCCTGGGACTGGCCCCCACACTCATGCTGCTGACCCCCCTGGAGCAGGAGTCCCCTCACCTGCTCATCCCTTCCTCCGTTTTCCTTCTGTTCCCCGCATGAGGTCAGCTTGTGCTGGAAGGGTCTACAAAGGGAACACTGAAGGTAACCATGAGTAGGGGAAATGAGGGGAAAGTTCTGAGATTTTCCTCCTCTGCATGTTCATTTTTGTTTTTTTGTGTGTGATTTTTAATTCTTGGAATAATAGCTACCTCTTCCCTCATCCATAGAGTCCTGCCGGCAGACTCACCTCAGAGTTCTCTTGCTGGGAATGGGCCTGTGACCTCCCCACATACTTCCCTTTCCACTGTCAGCCAGTTGTCCATTCCAGGTGGGCTCTGGGAGGACACCGCCCTCCCCTCTCTCTGATCTCTTCTGAGAGCCCTTTCCACCTGCCAGGCAAATAAGGCACATCCCAGTGGGATGTTGGCACGGGGGCCCCTTGATCTGTCCAACTGCCAATGGGTTTTATTTCCGCCCTCCTGCTACAGTCTGGACATCGGTGGTGCTTGGTTCTTTTGTCTGTGGCCCCTGTGTGTCCCTGGTGGCAGCAACATCAGAGGGAATTCCAGGAGCTGGCAAATGATTGGAGGGGAGGAGGGGCAGCCACCAGCTTCCAGGGCTGCACTTGCAGCCTCTCGGGTTCATGCACACAGGCCTGCTGCCCTCCACACCTGCAGGTGTGCAGGTAGGCCTATAGCTGGGAGGGGGTGGGGCACAGGGAATATTCTCTCGAGCCATGGACAGGGGCACAAACTAAAGTAGATGGGCAAGGTAACCATCCAGGCACTGCTGGTTTTCCGATTCTGTTGAGTGTCTGGCGCCCCTCACACTCCTGGACTGTCCTTGCAGCCTCATCTACCCACACCAGGGAGGAGGAAGAGGGGCTTGTGAGGGAGGCCTGGGCTCTTCCTCCATAAGCACAGGGGCTTGGGTAGAACCTTTGGGGCCTTCCATGACCCTATTCTCTTTTGGGGATGGAAGTCCCACTGAATAGGTACTGACTGGATGACAACTGCTTCTTGCATGTAGGGAACAGTGGAAGGGCTGAGGCTCCTGGTAGTAAGAAGGGGTGAGGGTGGAGAAAGAAGTGGCCCTTATTGCCAAGGGTCCCCATCCTGCCTCACCTCAGCACCTGAATCCTGAGCACCACCCCATTCATGCACTGAAGACCACGGCCAGAGGGGCCCAGCCCAGAGTGGGCCCCTTCAGCTATCACCTGAGAGAGGTCCAAGTGCTGATGGAGGAGATAGCCATGAGAGTAGGCAAACATGCCGTTAGCCCTGGGAAGGCTGGGGGTTGGGTTGTGCTCAGCCCCCAGGGTTCTGAACCCTTAAGAACCTGGTCATAGTGAGCCCTGACTTCTGACCCTCTCTGTGACCCAGGGTTTCCCTGCCCTGGGTTCCGAGGCAGCCTGTCATCCCCGCCCCACCCCAGGCCAGGTCCTATTGGAGTCAAAAGAGGCCAGATCAGTGGCAATGGCACCGGATATCTACTTCCTGTCACTGCACCTGCTCCAACTCTGTCTCCCTGGGATGCTGCTGTTGCCATGCCAACAACAACGTTCACTCTCAGAGGGGCTGTTCCTAGGCTGCAGGCCCTGTTGTGCCTGCATCAAAGTCACTGACAGTATGACTTTCGGGAAACAAAAACTCAGCTTCTGGTACCCCTTTTCTCCTACAGTTGACCTCCCCTGCTCCCCAGCCTCAGTTTATTCATCTGCATAGTGCAATAATGGGACTCTGTTTGCAGCTCTTACCTGGGCTGCCCGGGACCGGTCCTTCATTCTCTCCTGCTCCTGCAGCACCTCAACAGACGATGTCTCTGGCCGCTAGTAGCCATAGGGCTGCTCTACCCAGAGGTAGTTGTCCTCCGCCCAGTCTTTCCTGGACTCTGTGACCAACCCTA